CAACAGTAACAGAGATAGGAGTACCATATAATGCACCGACGAAACCTCTAAAATACAACCAAAATCTTCTATCTGATTGCAATTTCAGATGAGGTTGTGTAAATTCATTTGGTTTAGACTTAAGTAAATTAACGACCATACGCTCGAGAGCATCTAAAACTTAATGAAATTTTTGACTCACGGTCTCTTGTGCATGACCAAATACCTTTCAAGCATACCTTTGCTTTATATTTTGAGCGCAAATATTAAGAAAAAAGGGCCACACTTTCTTCGATGCTGATATTATCGGTTCTCTTCAAGTCATAGTCGCTCTCTAAATTTTGACATAATGATATGAAGACCGGTGGATTAATTCATCAATTTTAGCATTGTTCTTGATCATGTTGTAGCATTGTTCTTCATGCCGTGAATTAATTCATACACATATTGTCGTCCACATTTTTTTTAATCTAGATTCATCAATTGTCTTTGCGTCTCCGAAAAAGGATTCATGTATTACTCTTCAAAAAAGATTATAGCATCATCTTCTTCATCATTTTCAATTATTCTATACACATCTACATCCAATTAATATAAAAAGGTATATTAAATTAATAACGTATGATCTAATTTTAAACATGTAATAAATATAGTTGAAATGATAATAATTAGATAACATTAAAAACACAAATAAAGAAATAACAAATCAAACACGTTCGATTACAAAAGTTATAAACTAACAAAAATATAAAATCAAGATAAAAAATACTTATTTGATAGCAAAAAACTCAAAAAAAAAAAGATTTTTAATTCATTTAGAAAAAGAAAAAACACTGAACTTTTCAATTTTGATAAAAAATACTAAACTTTTGATTTTGTCAAATAAACATTAAATTTTTTAAATTTATAAAAAAAATACTTAACTCTTATACGATTGTCAAAATAAACAAATGAGCTAAGTGACATAACGAAATGCAAACACGTCAAATTATTATAGTTGTTTTTTCACAATTATATATAATTCATGTATTTTTTTGAATCATTTAAAAAGTTTATTATTCTTTTTTACAATTACATAAAAGTTTATGTATCTTTTAGATCATTTAAAAGTCTAGTATTTTTTAAACTCAATTAAAAATTAATATTTATTTGATAAAAACAAAAGTTTGGAGTTTTTCTATCAAAATTGTAAAGTTGAGTGTTTTTTTGAGATTTTTTCTTTTATTTATATAGTAATTCCTCGATCAATCTAAACATTCGTCCGTTTTGATTTCTGCCATGCACTCTAGATAAGAAACCTGAGCTTCGTCATCTGGCAAAGTCAAATAAACACGAGCATGTGCCTCGTTGCTTTGGAGTACATTTATTGCCTCCCAATATAAAGACGAGTTATAAATAATTCTGGGTAAGGTAACCAATGAGTTAATTGAACGCTCTAATTTATCATCATGTAAACATTCATGTATTTCTGTCCGCTTCATGGAACGAAACTTTTGATGTTTAACGTTTACGTGATGCCGAAGAAAAGTGTGAAGATTTACCATATAACCATTTGAACCTTTGGTTTATATAGGTGATTATATATTGTCTCACTTATTATCTAGTGGCACATCGAAATCATCGTCGAGGTCTTCTGTCTCTGGCAGATTTTCGCATGGGTTTTGTGATTCGACATGTTGATCCACCCCTACTTCCGGATGATATCCATCATCGACACCAATGTGTTTATTTGTAAATATTCGATCTAATATATCGATATCGGTAGGATGTGCTCATAGTTTTATAACATCCGGTATTTTCTATACAAAAATATATAAAATGTTAGATAAATATTTTTGTAGCGTATAAATTTTAAATATGACAATATATATGGTGATTAGAATGATATAAATATGTATTGTTTTTTAATTGAATAATATTTATTTTTAAATTTTTTCAATCTAAAATTATAGCTCGTGAACTCTCAAAAGGTCTCGATTATTCTCATCTTACTTTATTTTTTAAGATTTTGATTACTCCATCCAGTGCGATCCAACTCTTTCTCATATAATTCAAGAAAAATGTTGACCAATCTATCGTTCCATTGTATCGTCACTTTAAAAAAACATTATCACATAAACCAATCAACAATACAAAAAGTTTATTATACTATAATAAATATATATTTATAGAATATATACCTCTCTAACATATGACAATTGTCCCTTTGAATTAATTCAACATGTTTGCATTGCAAAAAGACAAGTTTTTCATTTCGTATATAAATAATATAAATATAATGTATATATATGTATTTATATTAATATATATTTAATAGAACAAATATAGTATATATATATTTAGTATGTATATATATACATACACATATATATACACATTATATATATATATATATATATTCACATATTCATATATCTATGTGTAAGTATATATATATATACAATATATTTATACTATTTAAAAGTATATATTTATTCACACATTCGTACACATGTATAAGTATATATATACACTATATTTATATTATTTAAATATATATATATATATATATTCAACATTAATATGTATATCTACATGTATTTATATACGTGTATATACATATATATGTATATATAACTATAGATATAACATGACTACAATATATATTTTGAACAATAAAATTTGAATTACATACCTCATTGTTTTTATAAAACCTGTTTCAAATATGAGTTATGATAAAAATAGTAAGAATATTGTCTTTATATAGATATAATTTGAAATTATTTTTAAAATGATTGGGTATTTTTATCTTTAGAATAATTTATACAATTATTTTTAATAAAAATGAAAAAGTCTAGTAACAAATAGTTAAAATCTATAAAAGATTGGTTTTTGACTTTTAGGTGACTTTCCTAAAAAAAATGATTTTCCTAAAAAAGTGACTTATCCAGTTTTAGAAAAAGTGAAATATAAAAAATCTTGGCCGAGGATTTTTTTGATTTTTTAATTTCTAAAAACCGAAAAACCCCCTTTTAGTCAAAGCCTAAAAGTTAAACACTTGGAACTTTTTCGACATGTATTGATTTTTTTTTTGTTAAAATTTTTAATTTTTTTTTGTTGAAAGCGACATGTGTTGATTACAATAACAACTAATTTGAATACATTATAAGCAAATCATGATACAATCTCTAAAATATTCTATGATAGGTATGTAATTTTAAAAACTCCCTAAATTTATTTATGCAAATAGCGTGAAATAAAATAACATATCAATAAGTGTATGTGTTAAAATAATAAATAAAATAAAAATAAGACATAGAATCTTGTTTAATTTTTTTTACTCTAATTCTAGAAATCGAATCTTAAACTCATTGGAAAAAAATAGATAATAAATACCGTTATATCACGATATTTTACACACATAAAATATTGGAATGTAAAAATAATCAAATATAAAATTGAGAAAATCCAAAAAAAAAAACACTGAACTTTCAAATTTTGACAAAAAAACACTGAACTTTTTATTTTATCAAAGAAACATTAAACTTTTTAAGTTCGACAAAATAAATACTTAATTCTTCTACGATTGTCAAAATAAACAAAATGAACGACGTGACACAATAAGATGCAAATACATCAGATTATTTTACTTAGTTTTTTTTTTACAATCGAAAAAAGTTCATATATTTTTTTTAGATCATTAAAAAAGTTAAGTATTTTTTTGATAATCGCAAAAAAGTTTATGTATTTTTTTATCATTTAAAAAGTTCAGTATTTTTTAGATTTGTTTAAAAAGTTTAATGTTTATTTGTCAAAAAATAAAGTTTAGTGTTTTTTTGTCAAAATTGTAAAGTTCAGTGTTTTTTTTTTGGATTTTTTTCTATAAAATTTAATCAAATTTAAAAGTAGAAAACATTTATTAAGGAAAAGTGTTAGTTTTTTTCCAGCTTAGAAAATACTAGAGAATTTTAAATGTTACACAATTTTTAAAATATAATTTTTTATGTGACAAATGATATTGGAATCTTTATGTGGTTTTGTTTGGGGCTGCTGCATTTTTGGGCGTTGAGAAAAAACGAACGGGAATAGAGAAGAAACACAAAGGCGTAAAACGGAAACTATCAGCGGGAGAAAGGAAGTACCTCGAGTCGTTGTCCAAAGTCCAAGAGAAAAGAACTGCTGATGGCATTGTCGGAGTCTTCTGTCATCATCACTCTTATGCTGGTAATCCCTATGGCTTTCGAAGATCAGACAAAACAGTTTAAAACTTCAGACAAAACCGGAAGAGAGATTATGACCCACAGGTAGGAAAAAACTGTCCTTTTCTTTTAGTTAGGACTAGAGCTTACATCTGATGAGATGTTATGGGTGCCATATTTATCGTCCCAGTACATCGTGCTGATTCTGTATAGCTGCTGTTTACTTAGCACCTAAACGAAACAATGAAACTCAGTGTCATTTTTAATGTAGCCTGGTTTTGACGTAGAACTTAAACCGAGTCGAGAAAAGAAAGAGGAGGATACCCGGCAGAGTTCTCTTGTTATTTCATCTAATGTCTTTTTTCAGTTTCGATGAATGACCTGAGTGAAAAAAGAGAGTAAAAGAAACAAACTAAAGTCAGACCAAAATTTAAGAGGAGGAGAATGATCGACATAGAATTTAACAGGAAACCAACAGCTTGCCTAATATGATTCAACTCATCCCATGCTGAAACTCTCTATCTTTTTTCTTTCCTATGGTTGCCCTCTTCCCTTTTAGTGTTTGTTCCTCTTGCAGACATTCATTTTGATTATATTCATACTTATTCGTGTTGTATAACGAAGCTTATGCAATGCCTAAACAGATGAGAGGGTAAATAAGAGGAGAATGACTTACTTCATAACCCTTCTTATGCAATGCTTCGGCTTGCTGTTTTCGAATATTTGATACAGCTTCTGAGCAAATGCATTGGCTTGCTATACCGCTTGCGGTTTTTTAATGTTTGATACAACTTTTGAGCAAATGCTTCATGTGTTGACTTCGGAAACATACTGCAAAAAGTAACTAATATCAGATATAGATCTGAACAAAGCTATGCCAAACAAACTGGTTCAAGCTGGCATATAGATGGAACTGTAGTTTGGAAATGCAAGGCTCTCAAGCGGAGCATAATCTTTGATGTTTCTTAAAGCATGACCCAATGGAAGAAAATTTGGTTTTATTTGATGTTTCTTCAGGAAGGCAAGGAAATAAACCAGCTAAGAAAGGACAACTAGAAGCTTTCAAGGGGATCTGATGTTCTGCCACCACAGAATCTTTGTTCTTGTGAAGAAACGGGTCAGCCCGATAAGCAACCTATTTTTGAAGGAAGGAGATGATGTTAACACGAAGTATATAAACTGACCAACTATATTGTCAAAATCCTCTTAAAACACTTTTATTACCAGGAAAAAAAAAACTCCTTTTTGTCAACAAACTTCCAAACTAAGTATTCGCATTTTTTTATTAATAGACCACACATCAGTCCGTTCAAAACATAATGTATAATCTAACAGTATTTTGAAGGATACTTACCTCTCAAGCGTAAGGTGATATCGTGAAACTGGTTCAAGATTGCTTTGGCTTGCTACACCGCTGCGACAATATACATTAAAAAGCAACATAATATGAAGCAAACTGACATGGTTGAAATGTTGTTGCAGCTTTTCATTGATGAAATTGATACGACACAGCTCAAAACTGGGGTACAAGTTACAATCCGGACAATAATTCTGCAAAACATAATGTATAATCTAAACAGTATTCGAAGGATACTTACCTCTCCAGCGTATGGTGATATCGTGAAACTGGTTCAAGATTGCTTTGGCTTCCTACACCGCTTGTTGTTTGTTAATGTTTGATACAACTTAGGAGCAAATGTTTCATGTGTTGACATCAGAAACATACAGCGAAAAGAATTTAATATCAATTATAAATCTGATCCAAGCTAAGCTAGACAAACTGGTTCAGAAAATAGAAATACAATGGACATCTAAGATAGAACAAAAGCATAAAACTCTGCAGTAAGTTCCAGCTGCATATACCATGGTTTCATCTACAAGAGCAATGACTCCTCAACTTGCTTTAGACATAAACATATGCAGAAAATGAGCCTACCAACAGTAGCACAACTGCATTCTGAATAAAATGAGAGAAGAAGACAGCGACCTGCTTTTCAATGAGATCCAATACATCCTTGTTATCAGCAAATTCTATGTAACTTCTGTTGATTTGTTCTTTGGTATATTCTTCTTGTTCCACGTTAAATACGATAATTATATGTCAATATCAAGTAACCCGAGAATCTACATTAACAAGCAACATAGTATGCAGAATCAGGATCATTGCCTTTTATTTGAAGCTTGGTATATGGTGCTGGAGCTTACTGCAGAGTTTTATGCTTTTGTTCTGCCTTTATGCATTAGTTGTCCATTGCTGTTCTATTTTCTGAACCAGTTTTTTTATCTTAGTTTGGATCAGATTTATATTTGATGCTATATGCTTTTCACAATATGTTTAGAAGATGTGATGCAAAGAGCTTGGAAGATGCTTTAATAAAACGTGTAATGGTAACACCATAAGCGGTGATCACGAGGACCCTTGATCCTGATTCTGCAGCAGGTAGCAGGGTGCCTTAGCTAAAACAATCCATTCTCGGTCCATTGATTGGTATGCGAAGAAAATTTATTATATTTTTAGTGTGTAGATTACTCTGTGTTTCTATATTTGTTTCTACATGCATTTTCTATGGAAGACATTAGAGTCTTAGACTACATCAACAGTTGTGATGTAATATCTAACACATCAGCTCAATCGGGCAAGATCCGAACTCCCTAAGGGTAATTGGAGTTCTTGATATCTATGATTTTGGAAGCTTTAAGATCAACATGTAATTTTGTAACTTGCAGAATTATTGTCCGGATTGTAATTTGTACCCCAGTTTTGAGCTGTGTTGTATCAATTTCATCAATGAAAAACTACAGCAGCATTTCAACCAGGTCAGTTGGCCTCATACTATGTTGCTTTTTAATGTATATTCTCGGGTTACTTGAATTTGACATATAATTATCGTATTTAACGTGGAGCAAAAAGAATATACCAAAGAACAAATCAACAGGAGTTACATAGAATTTGCTGATAACAAGGATGTATTGGATCTCACTGAAAAGTAGGTCGCTGTCTTCTTCTCTTATTTTATTCAAAATACAGTTGTTAGACTCATTTTGTGCATATGTTTATGTCTAAAGCAAGTGGAGGAGTCATTGCTCTTGTAGATGAAACCATGGTATATGCAGCTGGAACGTACTGCAGAGTTTTATGCTTTTGTTCTACCTTTATGCATTAGATGTCTATTGCATTTCTATTTTCTGAACCAGTTTGTTTAGCTTAGCTTGGATCAAACTGGTTCAGGAGATAGAAATGCAATAGACATCTAATGCATAAAGGTAGAACAAAAGCATAAAACTCTGCAGTAAGTTCCAGCTGCATATACCATGGTTTCATCTACAAGAGCAATGACTCCTCAACTTGCTTTAGACATAAACATATGCACAAAATGAGCCTAACAACAGTAGCACAACTGCATTCTGAATAAAATGAGAGAAGAAGACAACGACCTACTTTTCAATGAGATCTAATACATCCTTATTATCAGCAAATTCTATGTAACTCCTGTTGATTTGTTTTTTTGGTATATTCTTCTTGTTCCACGTTAAATACGATAATTATATGTCAATACCAAGTAGTGCGACAATATAAACTAAAAAGCAACATGGTATGAAGCCAACTGACCTGGTTGAAATGTTGTTGCAGCTTTTCATTGATCAAATTGATATAACACAGCTCAAAATTAGGGTACAAATTACAATCCGGATAATAATTCTGCAAGCTACAAAATTATATGTTGATCTTAAAACTTCCAAAATCATAGATATCAAGAACTCCAATTATCCTTATGGAGTTCGGATCTTGCCCCATTGAGCTGATGTGTTAGCTATTTTATTCTAATATGTACATCACAACTGATGACGTAATCTAAGACTCTAATGTCTTCCATAGAAAATGCATGTAGAAACAAACATAGAAACACAGTTATCTACACACTTAAAATGTAATAAATTTTCTTATCATACCAATCAATCGATCGAAAATGGATTGTTTTAGCTACAGCATCCCTGCTACCTGCTGCTGAATTAGGATCAAGGGTCCTCGTGATCACCGCTTCTGGTGTTACCATTACACGTTTTATTAAAGCATCTTCCAATCTCTTTGCATCACACCTATTAATAGCAGCAATAATTCATAGAGAAGGGGGTTACAGTAAAGAAATAAACAGGATTCAAGATAAACAAATAAGCAGCACTTACTTAAGGAGGTCAGCCGTCACATTATATTTGTATCTTGATTTCTTATCCTTCAAAACCAAAGAGTCCACCTCTGGTCCTTTTGCAAATTCAACATTACCTAGAGGCAGGATTGCAGCAACAACTTTAAAACTTTCTCCCTGGAAGGAATTGCCTGAATAATCAACAAGACATTTACAGCAGAAAGCATGTTATTCTTAAAAAAGACGAGATGGAAGGCTTATCTGTTCTTTTTCACTGATACTGACTATATCCATTGCTCTTCTGGTAGCAAAAATATTCCTCAGCATCATCAACTCCATCGAGCTTATAATGCTTGGATTGATTCAGGTAGTGGAACGATCAACAATTAAGTAATATAAGCTTACAAGACCTCATTATGAAATACTATCTAAGGCAGGTAAGGAGAAACTAAAAATAGAAATTAAAGTATCTAGAATCATATAGACACTAAGCAAATCTCAATGTACTGCTACCAAATGAACCAAAAAGAATCAATTCAATCTTCATGTAAGAAAACTCTGAAATTCTGTAACCCTCAAATGTTTCCCTGAACTATTGGGAAATATTTTTTAATTTTCATAACACCTAAAGGAGCAACCTTTCCTTTGAGAAAAACCAACCGTATCCCATATGCATAACTATTATAGGACCCACTCTCATTGGCAACCATGTTTTCATCACCAATATCATCGTCATGTAAACAGACTCAAGAACCTGAGTTTTCACTTCTTCTCCTTCTTCTTTTTCCATTTTCCCTAAAAGATCAAATCTGATGAGACGACTAACAAAAAGAATCGCACTTTTCTCATTCTCCAGTAATAAGTTCAACAAGAAGTCCATCAATGGATAGACGTCGAAATAGAGATCCTATAAAAGGATCACCACCAACAAATGACAAATCAGAATGAAACCTTTTCCTTCACCCGACAGAATCCAAAGAATCACTCCGTAAACCTTTAGAAGAAACCAAAAAATCAAAAGAAGCAATCTTTAAGAAGACAACGAAAATCTTGAGATTAAAAAGATTACCATGATAAGTCCTTCCCAGAAGATCTCATCTTCCCCTCTAATTCATTCGAAAAATACCGGGTAGCGGAACCCTGACTCAGCGTGAGTCAGGCGACGAGGGGTAACAGATCGGAGACCAAATGGAACGGTTTTGCCGTCGTTAATCTCAGAATTACCCAAACAAGTAAACAGAGCAGAAGATGATGAGATGAATTTACCCACAAAAAAAAAGAGCAGAAGATGAAGATCGGAGACCTGGGAAGAAGTGAAGAAACAACGAAGAAAAGAGAATCGGAATTTCCCTCTCTAAAAGTTGAATCGGAATCTTCTCTCTCTAGAAAAACCTCTGAAACAGCTACTGAATGAGGCAAGCTTTTCTCAGCAGCGTCTTCGGTATCTTCTTTATAGTCTTCGCTCTCTCCTGTTGTTCCGATCTCTCGCTAATCGCCGCTGATCTCAAGGCAAAAGTGACCGTATATCTTTATGACCGTTTGCTCTCTCTAATTTTGAATTATATTAATCAAAAAATTAGTGACAAATTAAATTTTATATTCTTACTATGAAGGCTACCATAAATTTAAAAACTCTTTATAATTAAATCACATACTGTTTTGTAATGCGTTCGATATTAAAATTTATAATATGAACACAAATTTTATATAAAAAAAATTAAGATTATTTTAAGTTTTAGTAGATATCATAACCATTTTATATATTTTTTTAATATTAATTTCATATTTTGAATTGCTACTCTCTCTGAAATCATCACCACATTCGTTGATCACCTTTTGAAATACAAATCCACAACGAAGATTGACCATTGATCTCCTTTTGAAACGCAAAACCACAACGAAAAGTGACAATTAGAATATATACACCAAAACACCAAGATAACGACAAAACCTTTTTTTTCTTTTTTTTTTTAATTTTGAATTTTATATTCTACCGATTTTTTCCCTTTAAAAGCTTTGAGACCGATTTTTTTCCTCTTAAAAACTTTGACACAAAAGGAGGCAACAAAAGCATCATTGCTCGAATCGACTTTCGCCTCTATTCCAAAAATCAGGGGAATTTTGGGTTATTTTTAAAAAACGTTCTCTACTTCTCTACTCTACAATCAAAGTTATCTACTTTAGTATCACCACCCTCTGAATTATATAAAAACCACATTCAATATATACGGAACGATTTCATACAAGTTTTCAATCTTGAAATCATGTTCTTTTTGGTAATTTATATCAAACTGCAACCGCAATCATACACAACCATTTACTTTTAATCGCACCCAACCGCAATCATTACCAACAGTCACTTATCAACCAATCAATACCAACCGCCTATAATCGCTATCAAATATTCTGAAAACGTTATTACCGCAACCGCAACCGCAATTGCAACGGTACAACCAGTCTGTTGTTTTATATACTCTATGTTGCTTTACGATATGAGTAACGATATATTTTTGTATTGACAGATTCATAATTTTCGGTTAAATGAATAAATGTTTATTTTCTTTATTCATTTTGCATATTTGATGAATAAGAAAATTCATGATTCGTTATGAACGATCATAAACTCCATAGTTATGCATTATTGTGGGAATAATAATAAGGCTATCACATGGGAGAGTTACAACTATATTTACAAAATACCCAATGATATTAATAACTTCTGTTTTTCTCTATATTTCAAGACGTACGATTTAGACGATGATGACGTGAAAGATTACAAGCTTTTGGTGGTGTTTGGGCTCAAACGGGAGCGATGTGTGATAATGGTGATGGAGGCCTGAGTAGGGTTCCCTACGAGGGGAAGGTCGGATTTTGAGTCTCTAAACGGCAGGGGAGGGCCACGCTGCTATCTTCCGTGCTCTCAAATATTTATTTGTTTCAATCTTTCCAAGTTTTTTTGGCTAAAAACATAATTGTAATAGCTTAATCCTATGTTAACTTGAAAATGGCTAAAAACATAAAAAATGATAAATCTAACAAAGATTTTAACAAAGTTGCATACTTAGAATTTGGATCAAAAGATAACAGAGAACGCAACACACATTAGATTGGATAAGAAGACTTCAGCCAAAATGTTCAAGGAATTGTATGTAACAGATCCATAACAAGTATGGGGATATACAAAAAAAAAAGGCGGATGAGACAAAAGTCATGAACGTTTAGCACTGAAGCTTAATCACCCGGGAGACTCTTTCGAAAAAGGCGGGACACATACTTATGCTGAACATCAGAACACCCTTCATCCATTCCGGGGCTACTCGTTCAAACGTCCCGAGTGATACAAGATTGTAGAGAAGCTCAGGTTCCTCGCCGCCGCCCGAGTTATTTACCCAAGTTAGGCGGAACGAATAACCTGATACAGTGCAATATACCAGTTCTTACATTAGGTAGGGCTATTGATATCCATATAATAATAGAGATTTGGGTAATTTAATGAAGTGTTCATTGTCATGGACAATGGTGTTGTCACAAGAATACGCAGTAGGAATCTTGAAACAGAAGAGAACAAAAAGTGAGAGAATCGCGAATGTTGTTGGGGGAAAAACATGTAACGAGGTTGTCTTCGGGTAAAGGAATTACCGCTTGATGGATGTAAGGTCGTAATGCCGACTCCATTGACTTGGTTACTAATTGATAACTGCATCCCTAGCAAGTATTCGCCGAGAGTTTGAAATGTACAGTTGACAGAATCACTTGATTCGGCATGAGAATTTTTGTAGCACACCGGCTGAAACCAAGAAAGTTGGTGAAACAGAGTATGGAAAGGGGAAAAAAAAGAAAATACGAAACTTGTGGTGCAGGAAAGAAGGTTACCGCCACTTTACGATGACTGCTAACATTGGGTGAAGTCATGCATACTTCTGTCATATCTTTTGATGTTCTGCTCCGCTTTTTCATGGATACTTCCACCATATCTTCCAATGGAATGTCTCGTTTTCTCATACTTCTCGTCAAAACTCGAGCGCTTTCAGGAGTTTTCGCCTGTTGTTTACTTCCAGTTTTACCCTTGAAACCACAACCATGTTCCTCTTGAAGCATCTCTTTCAGTTTTTCCACTTCTTCAGAAAGAGTTTTGTCTGTCAAAATCCCCATCTTTAAGTAAGGAGATAAAACAAAAGAAAGTGCAAATTATTCAAACATGTTATCGAAGATGCAACATGGTCCGCCCTGAACACTTTATGTTATCTCAGCTAGATTCCTACACTACTGTTCATGTCCAAAGAGAACGTTGCATTCCATGATGCATGCCAAACAAGGAGCAATTTGCTTCCTTACTCTTCTGTTCTTCTTCCATAAGAAGCTTTTGGTACTCTGCACAATCCTTGTCCTTGGCAAATCTAAAACCAAGATTGTAACTGTTAGATTCAAAAGGTTCCAGCTTTCACCGGATATTACTAACTCAGAAAGCATGGCAGGTCAGACGAATAGTATAAACAAAGATAACGTGGGGTACATGCCTAACGGAAGTCAATTCACTCCTTAGATTCTCCGCTATCCCCTGCAAATTTTTGTTTTCACTTCTCAGATGTCGTACTAACTCCTCTGCGGCTGCAAAAGCAAAAGAGAGAAAAACAGACTGTGAAAGCTGGATGTACTATAGTTTTAAGCAATAACCCAGATAAAAGAAACAGCACAGTTATAATTTTGAAACTAACTCCCTGGCTGTCTTAATTAACAATTCTGATAAAGTCAGTTTACATAGTTTTGAGGCAGGTCTTGCAATCAAGATGTACACTACAAAAGGAGCTCATGTTAACCAATAACTGGTGACCAAAAAGCTAATCCTTTGTGTATCAGATAAAAATACAGTTCAAGCACAGAACTAAGAATGAGTTCTTGCCAAAGCATTCTGGAATTCAAACCTCATTACAAGCCAATGTATAGCAAATAAACCTCACATGAATACTAGACAGACAAGGATAGAAATTCATACAAGAAACAAAATGTAAGAACTTCTCTTCTTGTTCCCGATTGACCTCGTCCAATTCCGACAATTTCTTCTTCTGCAGGGAAAAACTGCAAAACCAGATGAGAAAAGTCGTACTGAACTGCATATAACTCCACATCAACTCAACTTAGAAACTCGAAACAATCAAGAAAAACAGAAAGCAAAAAATGATTCAAAGAACAACCACCTTAAGTTTGCTGTATTTGTCATAGAGTTTGGTGTAAAGAGCCTCCATCCTCAACTGAAGCATCAAAACATTGATGAAAAGATCAATTCACCAAAGGAGGAAGCAAGTATTACAGATTTCTGGAAGATCAAGTCGAAAATTTATGATATTGAAATCTGAAGTTCGATCTAAGCAACAGCACGCTTTGATTCACTGTCTGACATCAGCCCGCATTCGGACAAAATCTGATTCTTAATCAAACCGAATTTATTTGAGTTTTCATTGATTTTTTTTTCCCTAAACAAAACATTCCAAACCCAAATTGCATACCGATAAAACTCCCACCATAGTTTAGTGGTGGTTACTATGTAGACACTTTCTAGAAGTAGCAAACAAAAAATCTATAACATGGTATTACATAGTAAAAGCAAGCTAAAGGATATGGTTCATAAAGGCCCTTTTTTGCTACTGATTTCCTACTAGTCATGAGAAGAAAAAAAAGCATCAACATAATACGTGTAATTGATAGAAACAGGCTGTAGTTTCTAAGTAACTGAGAACACACAAAGATCTAACTTTGAGGAACACAAACGAACCAAACCAGTACCAAATTTCAAGAAAAGCAAGAATCTAAAGACAACATTAAACCAGAAACTAATTCCTTATTTCCTTGGAAGTAAAAAAAAAAATCAGAAAAGCACAAATACATAACAATCTGTGAAGCCTGTGAGAAAAGAACGGCCCACGAGCTCCTTTCTCCTGATCAGTAACCACTCCATATCAGCAAAGAAAACACAAAGACCTTCTAAGATTCTGAAGAAAAATCGGATTAATCATATTTACCAAATACCACGAGCAAGAGCAAGCATTCTGAAGAAAAATCGGATTAATCATACTTTAGGGGCATCATTAAGCTTCTTCAGTGACTGTTTCTCCAACCTCTAAACCTTAAATATAGAGTTAAAAGCTCTAAGCTCTCATGTCAAAGGCTTGCGATTCTTCAGTTGAGTCTTCAACGGGTTCAATGGCGAGAAAAAACGCCAAATAAATTACTTAGAAACTGACATTCTCATGAATTCTTCGACAACCAGTTAAAAGCCTTGAAATTTCTCGGGAAACAAGCACGAAAGAAGCCGAGAAATTAACAGCGACACAGGAGAGGAAAAGGGTACCTGTCTCTGGAGGAGAAGGTTGGCGAGTGTTCTCCAAAAGCCCACTTGGTCGCTTGTTGAAGGTGAATTGAGCGCGAATCAGAAGAAACCCCACATCGTCGATCCCGGTTCAGTTCGGATTTCGAAATCAGTAGTGGAAATACTAAGATCCCAGCAAACCAATCGAGAATTAGGGTTTGAAATTGAGCCAATCGAGGGAAAGCAAGAGAGAAGAGAGAAAACCTAATCAGCAACGGACCAAAATCGTCGATGATGTCACTGCGACGTAAGCCAACTGAGCCGAGAGTTGGGGGGGGGGGCACATCCCAGATTCTTCCACTTACCCTTTAGACTCAAGTTATGCCCTTCTCTTCTCTTCTCTTCTCTCAATAAATATTGATGGATTTTTAGTTTTTCGTTTTGTATTTAAGATTTGCTAATATATTTATTGGAAAATCAATATCATAATGTGGGAAATTATGAGTTTTGTAAGAATTTTTGTTGAATGAGGTATTATATAAATATAGAAGTATGTCGAATCTAGTTATGACCCTGTGATAGTTATGACCTGTGTGATCATTTATGATCATTTAAACCGTATATGATCATTTAAACCGTATGATTATTGTGATTTGCGTAATTTTTATGGTCTTTGTGACCAATATGATCCATATGACATGATTATTTATATGAACATCTAATAATATGTAGGTATCTTAAAGTTGTCGAATATATATAGAAGAAAGAACTTGATCCGAAAAAATGGGTAAGGTTTACATATAATCGTAAAATGTATAACTTATTAACTACTATTGGAACAAAATATTATACCATACTTATGTTTCTAATTATTGTTATTGGAATACCGACAATCGTAATATTGTAAATCTTATGGTTTTGCCGTTTATAATAGAAAAAAATGGAAAAACAGAAAGTCTATAAACAAAATCGGTTTTCTGATCTAGGTGAAACTGAAAAAAAAAAAACTAAATCTACAACATAAACATCAGTATCCACTATGTCACAGATGACATCGCCAATTTCAAAAAGAAAAAAATGAATAATTTTTATATTTGTAAACTTGTATTCAATAAGAAAGATAAAAACTTTTGTATATTTTTTTATATAACTAAATTTAGTTATAATACAGGTGACACAAATTACCGTATTTACTCATATAAGTCATCACTGGACTTAAAAACCGGATTTACTCATAGCCCGAGACTGGACCGAATTTTGATTGGGATTAGACCGATTTAAGGTTACAAAAATTAACATTTTTCTAGTGAAATTAGAGTTTTGAGAGAACCTATAAAAAGAGAACATCTCCAAGGATGTGAGTAAGTCTTACAACATCCAAACACGCCCATTCACAGCTTTAGATCAAATCTTAAAGCTTTGAAAGCAATCTCGAATCTCTCCAAAACCCTAGCACACAAGAAAGAACGAGTTCTCTATTCCTAGCATACACGATCTAATTATTGACAATCTTCAACACCTCGTGTAATTACGATCGAAGTATCTACAGACCTCAGATCACATTGATTGATTGAATTTTGGAGATTCAAAAGGTTAGTATCCATATATATCAGAGAACTGCAACGTGTATGTTCGGTTTTTTTGGCGGCTTTGCTCTTCATGTTGACTTGTTAGGAAGATACTATGACGCAGAGGGCAATCTGAAGTTTGGTTTCCAATGGCATTCATAGCCACAATGCTCTCATGGAGTGTGCTTGAGTTCGGTGGTCTCATGAAATTTGAGTTGCAAAATGCCAAAGAAGCTATAAGTTGGGCCACTAACTATCTCTTCAAAGTCACTTCACGCCATGGTATCATTTATGTTTAGATTGGGGACGCGAACAAGGACCATACTTGTTGAGAGAGACCATAAGATATGGACACACCGAGACGTATGTTCAGAGTGACTAGAGCACTCCTGATTCTGATGTCGCCGATGAACCTATCAGTTCTTCTTCATTAATTTGGAACATCTTCTCCCTCTTCCGAATTCAGCGTTCCAACACCTTCTCAGTCTAGTATTTCCTCTTCTGTAACTGGTCCTACTTCATCTCCGTTCAGTGCTTCCTTTCGTTTGTCGGTTCAGGCACCATTCCTCTTTGGTGCATCTTCGTCAACCGCCGTTCTGGCACCTTCCCCCTTCGATGCGTCTTCATGGGTTCATCTTCTCTCTTTGGCTCGTCCTCTAGAGCCACCAATCATATCATTTGGTCTTCGACTTTGGCCGTGTCTTTCTCCCGAATCGTGGAGGCGTTATTCGAACTGTGGAAGCTTATTTCATGTCGTGGAGGCATTTCTCAAGTCGTGAAGGTTCTTTCATGCCGTAATAAAGGGTTTCTTCAAGTCAATGAATGTTCTCCTTATTTCGTGGAGGATTGATCATCATATTCATGATTATTTTCAATGATTTATAATTATTGATCCGATTAGTTTATAATTCTAGTGATTCATTTGTATTTGTACAAGATGAAAGTTGGAAACGTCTTAGAATATATATATATATATTTAAATATTGATTTGATTCACGTTAGTTTTTTAAGCTTGGTTAGAATTTGTTAGTAAAGGGTTTCTTCTTCCTATTGTATTTAAAGTTATATTTGAATCAAAGAATAATAGAAAAATACCCAAAATCACACCAAAATCACTGTTTCCATTCCCCGAACTCTCTAAAAGCAAAACACATTATAATTAATAATTTAATATTCATGGATTTCGGCCTATATTTATAGGCCCAGGAATAGCGTACGCAAAAGCCCATTCCAACCCAATAAAGCCCATGTTGTACCTTGAGATGTTATGTCGGTTCGTTTTTTTTCCCCGGAGACCGGTCATAAGCCAACGTTCCCCCACTCAGATTCTACCTTGCGATCGGAATATTTGAGATATAATTTCAATGAAAAAGCGAAACTCGGCAGAATCCCTGAAATCGTCCCTCGAGAATCTTAATTTGAATCCTTGTTCGAATAATGAATCAAAGCAAAAGGTTCCTGTTTCAGCTTCCGTGTCTTCCTCAAGTAAGCCAATTTCTGCCTTCGTATATTGTTTACGTGTTTGTACAATTAAATGTTCAATAGAGAAGTGAAGCTTTCCGATTTCTGGGTTTTTATCTGTGGAGGAAATTGTTTCGGATTTCTGCTAATGAGCTCGAACTTCGATTGTTTTGTTATGCTTGTCCCTGACATGTAGAGATTAGCTGATGTTTTACTTCAATTTCTGGAGTTCAGGGTATCGATTGTTAATTTGTTTCTTACAATTATTTTTGCCCCGGACACGAATTGTTGAATATGGAAACTCGGGTTGATCGTATGGTACGTTTGCAGGTGTTTTTCCCCCGTTTAGTGTACCGAAGCATTGGTATTGAAAGCTAAGCTATTCAAGCAAATGGGTTTTCCCTACCTTTGGATAACTTTGATTGATTTTAACTTTATGAGATTTACATCAAAAGCCATATTCAAGAACTTAGAGAAAACTGTAAAAAAGAGAATATAAAACAAAAATGGAGGAAAAGAGATAAATGGGAGCAAAAATATTTCTGTTTTTTATTCCTTTTACTCTACTTCTTATATAGACAATCACATATACTCACACCATTATAATCACCAATATAAACACCAATACATATAATAGTTTTTTATAATGACGTAACAAATACTAACAGAAAATATTCTCTAAATATTCTCTAATAATTCTTTCTCGAGCTGGGGGTTAAGGAAGTGATGAACTTTATGATAGGTCTGGTCACTTTGGTTCCTGTTTGATTATAAATTTTGGTGCTATTCATTTCTATATCCCGGCGTGCTTAGTGTGTTTAAGATTTCAATTTTTTACATCGATTGCAGGAACAGGTGTGCGTGTCTTCAAGTCAAGACCTCCGTGTCTTGTCAGCTTATGTCTCGGGGTTGTGGGGAGGCACTTGGAGGACATTATTCCATACTTAGCTGAGATTTCTGTTAACTTTCCTGCTGGCGTTAAGGTTATTTCGTGGTTTCGTTTTACATCTAATTATTTTAATGTCGTATTTGATTACTTCTCTTCCTCCGACCCTCGTTTGACTACGTTACTCAGTAGCATGCCTTGCTGATCCAAGGGTATAGTTATTCTGTAACAGATGACAATAGTTTCCATTGCAAGAAGAAGGAAGCTGCTAGATGATGATGTCATTGTCTCATTGGCTGACAGTTCCTGGAAAATCCTTGACATCAGTGGTTCGGACATTTCCGATGCTGGCTTAGCAAAAGTGGCTGAAATGTGCAGATCTCTCCGTGCTGTGGACATTAGGTATCGTATTTCGCAAATCTTGTTGACCCAAATTAAGATGACTTCTGAATGGTGATTTTTCAGTATCTCTAGGGCTGTGGCTGCGCCTCTGCAGGCTATTAGGGTATGCATTGCTCTCTAGTTGGTAGGGCGGAAGTACTGTCAGTAGGTAAAATTGCTTGATTATAGATTAAGTTGGATATAACAAGACATATCCTCCTACGTAGATATTAATGTTCGTTGCATTGATAAATTTCTGCATCATATGTCATGTTGTGAGGAAAGAACATAATGTACTAGAGGACCATCTTGTCAAGAGATGGCTCCGCCACTTGGTTCATAACCTTTGGGATTTTGTGGCCGAGATTGTATACGTTGCTTCAATCTGGTTACATGTTTTAGTTGGCTTCAAATTTTTATTTTGATCTGGGTATCTCTTTATTGATCATACGGTTTTGCTACACAGTCGGTGCAGCAAAATAACTTTTATGGGTGTCTCGGAGCTCGTGCAACACTGCCGATCATTAGAGACACTGAGATGCGGGTACACTCTCTTGCCCGAGTTTAGCAATTTTTGGCTTCCGGTGGTTATTGTTAATTTTATTGTGTGTTTTAGCAAAGGCTCCTGACTGTCTATGCCACCTATCTACTAAACTTACATATATATAAAGTGAATATATAGTGGATTGAAACTGTATTACAGCATGATCCCTTCTATTTGTTGAGGTTAGTCTCATCTCTTGTTTCATACTGGTCTGTTTAGTGATGTCATTTCGATAAATACGTTTATTTCATAGTTAATCGATTTTGATTGACTTGAACCCTAGGATTTTGAGTTCCGACTAGGCCTTAAAAAATCTATAAACAGCCAATGAGACAAAAGTTAATTTTGCAGAGGCTGCTTAGCGAGCGAGTCCACTGCTCGTAGATGTCTGGGCTTATTTAAGCCAAACCTAAATGATGTTGGAGGAGAAACATGGGAAGAACTGTACAACACAGAGATCGGCCATGGTGGTCAATCATTACGTTGGCTTGTTTGGGTACGAGATCAATCTTCTCTCTGGTCTTGCTTGACTTTTCTAAGCTTGCGCCCCTTTCCACTCTTTTTGAGTTCATGCTTCCCGTACAAATCAAAATTTATTTTGCTTCTATGCAGCCAACAATCGACAAGGATTCATTCGAGATGTTAAACATTGAGTGCCCACGTATAGTGATAAACCCCAAGCCCTCGCTTCTGGGTTATAGAGGTCAACAGGTTCCTCGGGAGGCACTACTAGATGTTAGTCTAGATGAGCCATTTGTGAAGGATATAGATCCGAAAACATGGGTTGGCGGGATTGGGCGGAAACCCACTTCCCAAACTCCCTCGGGATCCAACGAGATGCCGATAGCAGAGAGGTTCAGACTTGCGTTTGCAGAGAGAGATGCACGTTTGGCCCCAAAACGTGCGAAGAATGTGAGGCAGCATCAAAGGCGTGCTGAGAGGGAGTGGATGATGTCAAGCAGCGAAGCTAAAGCAATGGCTTTAGCTTCAAAGGCCACCAGATCATTGCGTAGAAACTAAGCTTTACCTAAAAGAGTTTTAGGGAATACGTGGAAGATGATTGGATGTTCTTTCACTACAACTTACACAAAGGAGATTGGTAATTGTGGATAAGCTCATCAATGTTCGTTCAACTACTAAAGAGTGTAACTTCATGTCAAAAGAATTGGTTTATAGTCATTGTGTGTTTTCGTAAAGTCTCTTAAAGACCATAGGACAAGAATCAGATCTCCTCCCAGAATTACGAAGGAAAAGGCTTTGTAGAGGTTCGAGGCTTGAGATGATCATAGATTGACCGCAACACACCAAATGAATCCAAACTTCATTTCTCCTCGCTCAAACTCCGGATTACGTAGGGAAGGGGAATCCGCCATGGTCAAATTATGCGAGTTCAACCTGCAAGATTCCACGAGTGAAGCCGGTTGGATTCAGTTCAAGTAACTGCAAGGTGCGCATATGAAGGATTTGCCTGTGTCGGTGGTGACTGTGACATCTTGACCAGTTTTGATTTCGATTAATTGTAAGTTATCAATGGGATTAGACCTGATCCCGTTGGAAGCATTTTGCTAATAGGATCAGACCTGATCCTCCACTCCTCTTAACGCAAATCCACGGATGGAGCGAGGCAGCTGGCCAATGTAGGACAAACAAAGGGGAGCACTTGCTAAGATCACATTGGAGGGACTCATATATCTGATCTGGCGAGAGAGAAATAACCGAATTTTTCGGTCTCAACCCTCAGAACCAGCTGTCATTAGACAAAAACTTGACCGACTCGTGCGGAATGTTATTTTGGCAGCCAAGAAAGAGTTACAACCAGAAGAAAACTTACTCTTGCAGGATTGGTTCTACCTAACAAGGCCACCATGATTACCAATGCTTATGTCCTTTTGTTCTTTAGCTTTTTTGTAAAGTTGTTCTCGTGGAGGTTCTGCTTCTTCGTACGGTTGATCAACCGGAGTGTATTTAAAACTGTTCTTTTTTTATTAATATATTCACATTTCACCAAAAAAAAAAGTTATCAATGGATACTTGCTGACGTTAACATGTTATAGATTCCAGTAAACACAACTGCTGCTCTTTGCTTGGACAAAAAGAAGTATTTACATTCATACTAACATGTGATATTGCTCAAAATGGTTTAGGGTTTGGTATTCTAATGGAATTGTATCATTGAACAATGAGGTGCTGATACATATATGACATAATGATCTAAATCAAATAACTTGACATATTGCAGGACTATTCCCCGCCATTCGAGTTCGGCCCGGACACTTTGTGGGAGGAGAAAATCATCTATAGATGCCTGGAGAATACCTTGAGAGTTATCAAGATCAAAGGCTTTCGAGGAATCTTGAATCTTGTACGATCTTCGATTTCTGCAATATCCCATCCGCTTCGACCGTGTAATGCAGTGCCTTGAGCTTCACATATCTCCCGATGTTGGTTACACTGAGAGGATCATCGCCCTTTCTGGGGATGACGTGGTTAATCGACGATTCGGGACAGCTTCAAAGAATCGGTTAATTACGGCACACAATAATTGATCCTGCAATGATCGTTGTTTTACTGCTTCTGTTGTTATTTTCCGGGTTTGGAATTGTAGTTTGTTGCCGGTTCATTAATTGCCAAACTGTGTGTCGTTAAGACAAATCTTGTTTTGCTTTAATAGGTATGCAATAGAATCTTTAAACTGTTTTTTTGAAAGTTTTACACACACATATACATATATATGGACTATACATTAATTTTGTAACGTATCACCGTGGAATAGAGATTCATTTCTCGTTTTGTAATCATCACTAGTAATTACACTTCCTACGAATTTTTTCAAAACAAAATCTTATTTTGCAAGTGGCAAATTAATATGCAATACACATTTCGTCATCCTCAGATTTCATAGAAAAGCTTCTTGAAGAGCTCAATGTGTTGAGTCTCCAAGCACATATAGAGAGCCAATCCATCCTCTTCTCTCGAAGAAACAGGCAGAAGATATGCCAATCCTTCGCTCCTTATGCTCGCCGGCCCCCAGAGAATCGGCAATCCCCACCCAAAATCTGCCATTAGAATCGGCATATGAGTCCAGCTAACGAACCCTATATTAGGGTTTTGATAGGCTGATCTCACCGATACACCATCCGCCACTTGCTTTTCGCGCAAGTAAGTGATCCCTGATCTTACGTATTCATCGTCTATCTCCTTTATAGCCTTCCGGATCCGACCAGCCGTGAAAGAGAGAGGCTCCTTGACAATCTCACCGGAATTTGCGGCCGAAGCTAATGTGATATAGATGGCATTGGAGAAAAGCTCCCGCGGCAGAGGAGGTCGTAGCCTTGGCCGAATATTCACCGGGAAGACAAACACTGTTTTCTGGTCGTCTGAAAGTCCACGTGCTTCGCAGGCGCAACGCCACAAGTGGGCAGAAAGAGATTGGTAGAGGCTGTAATTCTTGCGATTGGCGTTTGCGTTTGCCTTGTCCTTCAAGGCATTCATCTGTTCAACGGAGATTTTTAGATAAACTGTTGAAATATCAACAGGGGTTTGGTTAGGTTTTCGGTGGCCAAACATCGCATTAGGGTCGAACTCTGGGTGGTCAAACTTGATAGATGGTAAGGCTCGATCGCTGATCAGTCTGCGGTCGTGTATCGGGTCATCGATGGACTGACCACGAGCCGTATCGGCCCACGATTTGACAAAATGTGCGATGGATACACCGTCAGCGAGCCGTTGATGCATTGCCACTCCGAGACACATTCCTCCACATTCAAAATACGTCACCTTGCAAATTCATGAGAGATAACAAAGATCATCATGAAATAACATTTCTTATACTTAAATGTATGTATCTGCGGTGAGAAAATAAATTGCAATTATTGTGGTACATACAACAACAACATCGCCTCATTCCCAAATTCATTTGGGATCGGCCGCATGAATCCTTCCTCTCCACTCATTTCGATCGTGGGTTAACTCTTTCGGAATCTGCAACACTTCCAAATCGTTTCTAATTAGACGCTCCCAAGTAAGTCTAGGTCTACCTCTTCCTTTCCTTCTCACCCCTATTCTTATTCTCTCCACTTTTCTAAACGGCGCATCTATCGGCCTACGTTGTATATGTCCAAACCATCTTAAGCGCTCCTCCCGTACCTTCTATTCGATGCTTATTACTCCTATTTTCTTTCTAATAATCTCATTTCTAATTCTATCCATCCTTGTGTGTCCCCATATCCATCTCAACATCCTCATCTCGGCCACACTCATTTTAGACATATGTTGCCCTTTCGCCGCCGAACATTCGCTATCATACAACAATGCGGGTCTTATGGCGGTAAGATAGAATTTTCTTTTCAACCGTTGGGGAACCTTACGATAATTATTGTGATACATATCACTACTATAAAACATTGTGCATATTTATATCTAAATAAATCAAAGCATCCACTGAAGAACATTTATCTTTTACCAAAAGGTCACTAATCTTTTAGTATTTTGTCTTAACCTGAAATAATTTTGTCTGAAGCAAACACAATCTTTGGACAATGTTGTATGCGCTTCAAGATTCTTTAAAAGTTTGTGTTTGTCTTTTTCAAAATTATTTCCTCCGGCTATCTTCAACAGTAAGAGTTTAAATGCAAGAATTCAATGATATACCTTAGAAAGAAGTAAGGGGAACGAAGATGTGTCGATGGAGTAATCCACCGGATCAATTAGAAGCTTAAACTTGGAGCTTGGATCAGACCCTCCAGTATCTAACATCTCATCCAAAGTGCAATCAGCTTCAGCCACCGCGAAAGTCGCACCTTCTGCATTACATTCGATCTGAACCCGACCCTTCTCGTCTTTCCCGAGCCTTCCTGCCACTGGATAGAACGAGATGAGTACTTTCCCGAGAGACTGCTTGAGAATCCTAGTCATTTCATCCCTGCTCGGATAATTGGTATCGGCGGTAGCCTTGAAGAATAGCACGATCTTGTTGTGCATGTTCGGGTAAAAGAGATCGATCTCCGACAACCAGAGCGACCCTCCAGGAGTGTCATCTTGGACCGGACACACCAAGGTTGTCTCCTTAATATCAACCTTCATGGCTTTTGGCCTACAGATTGTGTAAATTAGTCCTATTAATACACACAAACACGCAAATAATACACCATTAATCTTGATCTGAAATGCCTTAATTTAACATTGATAAATAACAATAATATATTGGATTCTTTACATTATGGGTATGTATATCGTACAAAGGGGGGGAGAGAGAGATATGTGTTGACAGACCTTGAAGATGAATAGGGTTCTTCGAAGTTTCTATACGCTGCGATGATAAATGTGTTAAAGATAAGGCCAGTGATATATATGGTCGAGAGTTGAACACAGAGGATGCTTTTAAATTCAATTCGATATGTACGATTTTGGCAGCCTGTTGTATCGACAATGACGTTTATTGGTTTTTGCTTATGTTGTCCTATTTAAGGCTGTTCATTTCAAGTCAAGGTACAGTTTAAAACTGTAAGAATTTGTACAATTTGACCCATGAAGCAAATCAAGAAGATATTATGATTTTTTTAAGTCTTTCTTGATTGAAGAAAATTAAATATAGTTGTAACAGCTTTTTCTCCTTGTAAGGTTATGCTAACGAAAGCTTGTATTTTGAATCCCACCATTTTTTTTATTAATACACAACAAATTATATCCAAAATAAAAGATTATCCCATTTTCTTACACAATCAATTCAAATAATTTATTTCTTCATGGATAAATGATACACACTACACTTAATTTATCAAACAAACAAACAAACGGACACTAAGGAACCCTCCAAGAAAATGCCCATGATGGGTCTCGTGGCGAACCGCATGGACTTATTATTGCATTATGAGTAATTGAAACTTAAATTAAAATCCACGTAATCACACGAAATCATTGATGATAGTTTCATCAAATGTCGTAGAAAGTCTTCTTGAAGAGCTCCATGTGTGAAGTCTCCAAGCAAACGTAGAGCGCCAAGCTATCCTCCTTCGAAGATGCAGACAGAACGTAGATTTTACCTTCGCTCCTTATACTGGCCGGCGCAGCGTAGACCGGAGGGCCCCACCCGAAATCCATGGCATGCATCGGCATCTGACTCCAGCTCACAACACCGAGATTAGGGTTTCGAAACGATGATCTACCCGAAAAACCATCGATCACTTTATTGTCACGCAAGTAAGCGATCCCGGATCTTATATATTCGTTGTCTTTCTCGTTTATTGACTTCCTTAACCTACCCGCCGTGGAAGATAATGTTTCCTTCAAAAGCTCGCCAGAAAACGCTGACGGAGCTGACATCTGGATGGCATTTCCGTAAAAGCCTCTAGGAACAAGTGGACATAGCCTAGGACGTGCATTTACAGGGAAGACAAGTGATGTCTTCTGGTCATCTGGATGCCCACGTGCTTTGCACGCGCAACGCCAAAGGTGGGCAGCGAGTGATTCGTAGACGCTGAACTTTTTTCCGTGGGCGTCAGCTTTTTCTGCGTTTGCGTTTGCCTTCTCCTTCAGGGCATGGATATGTTGGGTGGAGATTCTGAGATACGCGGTGGAAATGTCAACGGGAACTGGATTAGGTTTTACATGTCCGAAGATGGCGTTAGTGTCATACTCAGGGTGATCGAACTTTGGAGATGGCAAGGCTTGGTTACTGATCCATTTGCGGTCATGGACCGGTTCATCGATGGGTTGACCACGAGCCATGCTGGCCCACGAGTTGATAAACTGCACAGCTGATGAACCATCCACTGCCCAGTGGTGTTGTGCCACCGCTAGACACATTCCTCCGCATTTGAAATATGTCACCTTCGGAACATATCAAACATTATTCCAACTATTTATATATACACTAATCATTTCTTGTAAAACAAAAAAAAACAATAATATACCTTAACGAGGATTAAGGGGAAGGAAGATATGTCCTGAGAGTAATCAACGGGTTGAATAAGAGGCCTAAACTTGGAGACAGGACCAGACTCCCCAATATCTAACATCTCGTCTAGAGTACAATCGGCTTCAGCCACCACAAAGGTCACGCCTTTCGCGTTACACTCGATCTGAACCCGACCATTCTCGTCTTTCCCGAGCCTACCAGCCCCGGGATAGAAATGGACAAGTACTTCACTTAGAGACTGTTTGAGGATCCTAGTTATGTCATCCATGCTCAATGGATTTGTATCCATGGACGTCTTGAAGAAATGGACGCTGTTGTTGTGGATATTGGGGAAAAACAAATCGATTTCGGACAGCCAGAGAGACCCTCCAGGCGTGTCTTTGGCCGGACGCACCATCGTTGTCTCTTTAACGTTAATCTTCATGGTGTCTACGATTATCACAACTTGTTAAAGGATAATAACAACGTGTTTTTTTTTTCTCTTCAAAACGAGACGTATTATGCAGAGTTAGGAACAAATATTCGAAAACCCATCTGAGGATATAACTCTAATGTAACTCTTAACTATAAACACAGTTTAAACTTTACCTAATTAGCTCGAGCGAGAGGCGCAAACGGGCGACAAACTCTAGCTATTGGATATACAGTTTAAATAATAGAACATAGAAAAGGTGGTCGCGTTACAGCATATATATATATATATAGGAAAGCATGCTTTTGTGCGTGTAGAGCATTTGTGAAGTAGGGAGAGGGTTTACGTATGAGACGTTGCGAAGAATCTGAATATACGGTTTGAGAATGTTCAAAGAGGGTAGGGCCTTTCTCATTCAATTTTTTGTGGTCCTCGTTTGTATGTATTTAATTTGTCAGCCTGTATCTACGGTCCCGTAGTTACTTTTTTTTTGGTAATATTTCGCCCAACGGGGTATGAGAAGGGTCTGTCCGGGCGGTTCATCTCTGGGTCCGTCCGACCCATACCCTAGAGTGGTTTTCGAGCAAATTTGTGGTTCAAACAATTGATTCTAACGTTCGTTTTCGGTATAGCGGTAATTCAAAATCTTAACGGTCGAACTTCGCTTTTGTAATAAGCAATCACGCCAACACTTTTTAAGTACTAACTGCTTAAAACTGAAAGAAGTTTTTTTTTTTTTAGAGAGAGAACGAAGATTTTTGGATGTTGTTGGTTGCATTTTTAGTAAACAGCTGGTTACGTTTAAAAGGTACCTTTCTAAAATTTAAATCAATTACTACAATATAAAGGTCCCTTTACGTTTTCAAATTCGATGTAAATGTATCGTTACATCAAATGGTATCACATTCAAATTAAAAGGTATGTTTTTCAATTAATATTAATCCAAATGTTGTAAATTTCAAAATTTAAAACAAATAGTACTCTTTTTTGTTGTAAAAACATGATTTTTCATTCATAATCCTTTGATTTTGTTCCTTTTCAAAAAAATCCAACAATTAAAGCTATATAATCCCCAATTAAATTTCTACTAACAGTAAAAAAAAAAACTAAAATTATTAACACCCATTTGTTTCATACCCACAAAAAAACTATATAACAATAATTAGTATACAATCCCCAAATCTAATCGTTCTAAATCCATAACTCGAACAGAACACTATTAGCTCTTCCAAAAAGCTGAGCTAATGTCAGAAACATCTATTTACACATGCGAAAACCGGGGAAGAACGCACCGCTCTTGAAAATCTTGAAGCATATTGATCAGAGAGCAAGCCCTTTTGCCGGCGCGAGACGTTCCTTCGGACACAAGCGAGTACAAGGAAGCCGTCAAGGACCGGTCTTTGGCCAAATCCATCACGACCAAGTCTCCTCCGTTTCTGCAGAGGCAGAAGAGAAGCGAAACACAGTACTCTTTGGCTGTCTTTGACGCAGAGGAAGAGCAGAGGATCCTTGTCACTGTAGGCAAAGGCGAGGTGTTCAAGATTGCGAATGTACCCTCGAATGTCTCCGACAATTCAGCAAGGACGGCTAATGAATCCGCTGGAACATCGGATTTTTCCAAGGATGATATAATTTGCGTTAATATTGGAACCAGCCCCGCCTCGATAAACCTCTCTTTGTTTTCAGGGGAGAGGATAAGAGCGAAAATCGCGACTACCGCGTTCTTTTTGCCGCATGTCGACCCATTCTCGACAAGCTCGACGAGGGATTGAACCGCTCCTGGTGACTCTCTGATCATTCTTCTGTATGATTTAACAGAGGAAAGGTAAAAGATTATCGCCGCTGCAGTTTGCTTCGCTTCCGTGCTCAGCCCATGTTTCAAGACAGCAAGAATCGGGTTTACTCCTCCAATCTCGACTATTTCTTTCTTCCCATTTGCGTGTTTCGATAGCTTTAGCAAAGCTGAAATCGTGTTTTCTTGTGTCGACTTATCGTTTGAAGACAAGAGATTCAAAAGAGGAAGAATCGTCCCGGCCTCAATCAAACAAAACCGGGCAAAAGTATCGGATTTCGCGAGTAAACGGATCTCGAAAGCCGCTTTGTTCTTCTCGTCAAGCAACCCGAAAACTAAACTCCTCGCCAAAAACCTCGAGACGAGTTTCATGGCTTCACCAGCGACAACGCTCCTCGGAACAACAGACCTGACGACTTCCCTCCTTTTACTGTTCAATTTCGATAACGAAACGCCGTTATCAGTAAAAAACTGATTGGTGAGTTTCTTGAGAGCAGTGTTTGGTATCAGCTCTGTGTTGGTAAGCCTCTCCCCTGTTACAGGACATTGAAGGTTTCCGGATTTTAGCCATTTCTGGATCGAAGACCGATCATAAGATTGTCCGGTCGAAACGATCACAGGATCAATCATAATCTCCAGAGAAATCGGGCAGCGAAAATCTTCAGGGTTGAAGAAATTGAGCGTATCGCCGTTGATTTCGACACGGGTGAGATCTCCTTTCACCTGTTTCTCCCCTGTTTTGAACAGAACAGCTCTGTTGTAGAGCATGAACCCTAATAAACTGCTCAGAATCTGGACTTCTCTTCCCCCGCACTCCGAGAACTCGATATCGATCTCGTTCTCTAAGAATTTGATTTCGGAATCGCATTCCGTCCAAGTAGTGATCTCGAGATAGTCAAGAACTGGCCTGATGAATTCAGGATCGGGCTCGACGCCCTTTTCGAACAAATTCAACAGAGATATCACTCGGTTCGTCGCCTGTTCATCACTCGGGTCGATCCGAATCCTCTCTTTTCTTGCTTGTTTTCCGACCAGCTCGATCAGCTCTTTTACTTCTTCGCAGACATCGATCGAACTCAGCGGTAAAACGTCTAAAGCGGTCGCAATGGCTCGTACTAGGACCTGAGACTGCGACACCATGAATCTGCTCTTCATCAGAACCCACAGCTTGGCTCCCTCTCTTGAGCAATCTTCAAGTAAGAAGAGAATCTTCTGGAAAGCAAGGTGAAGCTCCGAGAACGAAACCACGATTGATCTCGGTAAAACCACGCCACGATCAACGAGTTCTTCGAAGAACATCTGCAGGATTCTGATCTGGCGAATCACCTCCCGGCAATTTTTCCTCTGTGAAGCAAATGATTCGGAGCTGAAATTGCAGATTCTTTGAGAGAGTACCGCAAGAGAATCGAGAAGGGTCCTCGGAGAAACTCTTTCGCCCGGAAAAACGGCGGGAAACGAGAGGATCCGGCGGTCAGATCCGACAATTTGGTTGGGTTTTTGAATCATCTGAAGGAATATGATATGAAGAACAATAGCATAGGAAAGATGAAATCTCTGGAGAAGGTTAGTTGTTGCCGTTTTTTGCAGTTAGAACGAAGAGGAGATATATTTGACTGGGACGACGGAGACATGAGGACACGTGGCGGCTAGTTTGAGCGTTTCCGTGGCTGAGTTTGACTCGCTACGAGAAACCGAGTGGATAGTTTTGGCGGGTAAATGGTTCAACACGTGTAGGGGACACGCGGAGGAAAGATATTGGGTGTTGGGTTTATTCGGGGCATTAGATATTTTTTCTTTCGTTCTACGAAGCTTGGTGTACTGCTCCTGTGGCCCCGTTGCGCCGACAGGACACGTGGATGGATTCTAGAGTGCCATGTTGACAAGGGAACAAAGGACATGAAATCATTGTTAGGCAAAGGTCACCCGGGGGGTGAAGAGACGGAGTGAGAGAGAAGGCCCACGGATTACTCAATTTTGATTACACGTTTTTAAAAATAAAATAATTTCAAAAAAATTTAACGCGGAGAAATAAATAGATATGTATAGAATAATTTAATGCTTGAAAGGAACCAATTTGATTAGTTTAATCGTGAAATGAGAATTCAAATCAATGAAAATTCAAATGGTTTATCCCGTCCTAAGTTTGAACATCAAATTGGAGAGAGGAATATATTTTAATCACATGATTTACTTTCGATTACGATATTAGTTTGAGTATCGGTTTAGAACATCTGGTTACCCAAAAATACTCAATAATTGAAAGATATTTAAATATTTTATTTATTTTTTTGTAATTAAAAGATGTATAAACATCTGGTAATGGGATGTCAAATTAAAAAATATATAAGATTTAAAATTTAAATAATAGATTATATAAATACTGAATAATCTTCACAAATTTATATGAAAAAATGGAAACAATAATTGCAGATAGAAAGAATAGAATAATGAAGATGGTGTTATTTAATTTTGACCTAATTAACAATACTTTTAAAAGCACGTCGAAATCAAAGAGAGATGCGTAGAACAAAAGACGTAACGTAATATTAAATATTAGTCACAAACTGGTTGGTCCACGTCTTTATTGGAAGCTTGAATCATATCCTTAATCCATCGTTTTCCTTTCTCTCCTTATAAATCCCTAATTATTATTATTTTTTTTCATAGCTACGTCCCGTTCAAATTGTCTGGCCACCCCAAGATCCAAGAGCCTTGTCGCCATTAGGGCTTAGAAATATTTGATATATTTTTTTTTTGTATTAAAGGTTGTGGTGTTGTATTAAAAGGAAAAGAGCTTGTACATCGAGAATAATATCTATCCTATCTCCATTAGGGTTGATACAAACTATAAAGTATAGTTAGCGAGATATATCCATATAAACGATATTTGTATAACGTGATTTTCCGATCGCCTGGAATGGACAAAAGAAACATCTTGTTCTTTTTTCAACAATTTCTGATCCCTAGTGGACCTCTCAGTAGGATTCGAACTCAGATGAAGTTCTGACCCATAAGCAGTGACAATTGCCCTATGAAGATTCGCTTTCGCTACAAATGGCATTTTCTTTTGACCCAATCGGTTTGAATTGTCATTACAACCAAAGATATCGCCATCGATCGAAACCGAGTAGAAACCAAGTTTGTCATCTCTGTTCGACCCTAGATACTACGACTAATTCGTACAATTGCGATAGTTATATCTAGAAAATAAAACGAGATTATATGACATCTTATATTGGCATCACGTCCTAACTATCCAAATATAGATAGGTTAATATAGGCTTAGGACGACTCCAAAATTAATAGAATGATCTAATTACAATTCTAATCACTGCATGTGAAGGAGAACCGACGTTATCCTATACAAATCTTAATGGGACAACAAACCAGAGATGGAATAAGGAGTTAGCTACATCCGACTGTAAAGAGCGAAGTTACGCCATCTTAGTTTGGAAGGAGTGATTAATATCCCAACGAAACGTCATAAAATCTTTAAATTTGGAGTTGTGGACTCTAGAGTTCCTTTCAGTCTATATGGTGTGGATGAGAAGTTGTCAAGTTATGCAAGCACCCAAATGCCAAGTTTTTCAATCATATTGCATATTTCTAAAAATTCTGAGATTTTGAGCGGAACTCAACATTATGGAAAAATTAGTTATAACTTTACGCTCCGAAATCCAACAACGTGATTCAAGTTGGAAATAAATCCTAACTCATCATAGTTTTCAGCTAGAGAATTTGAATTCAAAAGGAGAAAGCATCAACTCGGGAAAGAGGACGCAATTCACAAATCCAGTTTGGAGAATGAAATGTCCTTTCTAAATCCCACTGTCCAAAGCATTCGGCGTATTCTTAGTCAGTTTAGCTCGACCTAAAAACGTATTCTCTTTTGCCATCTATGCAAAGCAAACCGTACATTCCTTTATCTATCGTCATGTTTCACTAATCTATTCAAAATATGATGTAAAACAAATGCATGAAGTGAAACAATGAATGTGATGCATCGGGGAAAATGAGATGCAAATGAGGATGTAGTATGGAAAGATCGGACGTTAAGAAGAATTACTTAATTGCATTAATCTAAATATAAAGATCATCTAATTAATTTAAAATCAATTATACGAAGCCCACTTCAGACAAGGTTTAATTCCTCCGTTTTATATCATTTTTTTTAAGAGAATAATTTTCTCCCCGAAAAGTGGGTGATCACATTAAATAGTTATTTGTCAAATACAAACAAGTTTTTATGCCGTAAACGGCATATTTTAATAGAATTTTCCCTTTTATTCTTTAAAATTAGCAATATTTCCATTTCAAATAATGTAGAACTGATTTTCTTTTTATAAAAAAAACATAATTATGTAACTTCAATGTAAATTCTCATGATTGATTCTTTTGAACAAGAGAGAAAGAAGGATGTTTGGAATAATTTTCTGATTCTCATTCATTCATAATAAAAGGGATACAAAGCATTTGTATAGAAAGATAAAATAATAAAAATAAAATATAAAAAAAAAATACTAACAACCTCAACAAACTAATACTCTAACAACCCTAATATTCTTTAATAGATTATATTTGTTATTGTTTTCTATATTAAGAAAATACTGGTTTAATAAAATTTAAATCAAGATGTGTTAAAATTTTATGTGTGAAATATTTCTAAAAACAACAAGAAAATGTTAAAGTTTAAATTGATAAAAATAGAATATATTTGTAGAAACTACATAGCACTTTGTAAATATATATATATATATATATA